AGTGGTGGTGGTGGTGGTGGTGGTGGTGGTGGTGGTGGTGGTGGTAGTAGTAGTAGTAGTTGTAGTAGTAGTAGTAGTCGTGGTGGTGGTGGTAGTAGTAGGGGTGGTAGTAGTAGTAGTAGTAGTAGTAGTAGTAGTAGTCGTGGTGGTGGTGGTAGTAGTAGGGGTGGTAGTAGTAGTAGTAGTAGTAGTAGTAGTAGTAGTAGTAGTAGTAGTAGTAGTAGTAGTAGTAGGGAGGAGGAGGAGTACGAGTAGGAGTAGGAATAGGACTAGGAGTAGTAGCCAGGGAACGAGGAGGTTCAGGAGGCGCCGGATGATATGAAAACGTCGGACGAAGAGGAGGGGGAGGCGGAGGAGGAGGAGGAGGAGCAGGAGGATGAGCAGCAGGATGACGATGCGTATGAGGATGAGGAGGCGGAGGAGGAAGAGGAGAAGGAGGAGGAGGAGGAAAAGGTTGTGTCATCGTCGTCGTCATCGCCGCCGTTGTGGTCGACGTCGTTGTTTTTGCCGGAAGAGGAGGGGGAGGAGGAGGAGGAGGAGGAGGAGGAGGAGGAGGAGAAGGAGGATGAGGATGGCACCACGACGTTGAGGCCGAGCGCCGCGACGATGAATCCCTTGACGGAGGCCAACTGCCCTACCGAAAACACATTCATTTTGGTCTCAACTCTGCTTCGGGTGGGGGGGTGGGACGGAGGTCTGAGGGGAGGAGGGATGATGCCCACCCCCTCATCATCATCACTTCCCCTCGTCTTCGTCGTCGTCGTCGTCCCCTCCTTACCTCCCCCAGGAGGAGGATGAGGAGGAGGAGGAGGACCATCTGAAACCCAAGATGCATCAGCGATGCTGCAATACACTCTACCGTCTCAAGTCCCCTCCTGATGCGTCGCTACAAGCTTTCCTCTTCACTGCAAGACCAGCGCAGGCTGGCCTTCCAGTTTGGACAAGGCCCCGCTTTGAACAAGAAACTGCCCCTCTGGCATCTTTCTGGCACGTGACCAGGAATCGACAAGCCATGATCTTCCAGTTGAACCAGCTGCCCAACGAGATTCTCCTTTCCAGGAAGGGCCGTCCCCTGTCCGTGGAAGTGTTACGCACGTTACAGTTGTGGTCACTAATGTCGACGAATTCTCAAGCAATAGCTGAATTTTGAATGAGTACCGCTTTGTATCAGTGCAGTGTCAAATGTGTTGAAGCGCCGGGTATTGAACTGAAAACGAGTCTCTAGAGATAATCCCATTTTGAAAAAAGAGCAGTCCTCCATGCTTCGATGATGCTGGTGATGATGCTGATTATGCTGATGCTGCTGCTGCTTCTGATGATGATGTCGATGATGATGCTGATGGTGAGGATGCTGATGCTTATGATGATAGTGATTACGATGATGATCATGGTGATGATGATGTTGATACTGATGGTGGTGATGATGCTGATGATGATTATCATGCTTATGATGCTGATGAGGATGCTGATGAGCTGATGATGATGCTGATGATGCTGATGCTATGATGAGGAGGAGGAGGAGCAAGTGGAGGTGGACGAGGATGAGGAGCAGGATGAGTAAGAGGAGGAGGAGGAGGAGGAGGAGGAGGCGGAGGAGTAGCTTTGGTGGTGGCGGCGGTGGCGGTGGTGGCGTGGTTGGGGTGGGGTTGGGTGGGGGTGGGGTGGGTGTGGGGTGGTGGGTGTAGGGGGAGCATTGGAGGAGGAGAAGGTGGGCGTTTTCTTTGTCTCATTTTTCTTTTTTTTCTTCTTCATATTTCCTCCCCCCCCCGCCCACTCCGCATTCTCCTTGCCTTCTTGGGGCAGGGGGGGTAGGGAGGGGGTGAGACAAGTTAGGTGCGCTCGCGTCAACATCTGACATCCTACCCCTCCCTCCCATCCCTTACCATGGCGCTGATTTTCTCTATCCGCGGACGCGTGTCGTAGCGGACCTGTGGCTCCGCGCGCGTGTGCGTAGTGGGTGGTGGTGCGCGTGCGTGCGTGCGTGTGTGCGTGGTTGTGGTTGTTGTGGTGGTGGTGGTGTGTATGTGTGTGTGTGTGTGTGCGTGTGTGCGCGTGTGCTGTGGTGTGACGTGGTGTGGCGTCTTGGTGGTTTGGTGGTGGGCCAGGTGCGTACGTGCGTGATGGCGGTGGTGGTGGTGGTGGCGGTGTGTGTGTGTGTGTGTGTGTGTGTGTGTGTGTGTGTGTGTGTGTGTGTGTGTGTGTGTGTGTGTGTGTGTGTGTGTGCGTGTGTGTGTGTGTGCGTGCGTGCGTTGTGTGTGTGTGCGCGCGTGTGATGTGGTGTGACGCGGTGTAGCGTGGTGGTGGTGGGTGGGGTAGTGCGGTGGTGGTGGCGGTGCGCGGTGGTGGTGCGCGTGCGTGCGTGCGTGCGTTGGTGGGTGGAAGTGGCGGTGGGTGTGCGTGCGGCGGGGCGGGGCGTGGTGCGGCGCGGTGGTGGCGGGCGGATGGGCGCGCGAGAAAGAGGCCCGCGCTGGGGCGAGAACGCCATCCTGAACGACGGAGGCAAAACACCGATCCGGAAATGAGGCCCACGCTGCAGCGGGAGCACGATTCGGAAAGATTCGGGAGCAGAAATGAGGCCGGCGCCTCAGCGAGAGCAGCATTTTGAAACAACATGCAGGCGAAAACCCAACTCCCGGGAATCCTGTGTGTAAAAACCAGTCCGCGGGGGGGGGGTCGAATATTCCCAGCACGCCATCAGGGGAAGAGGGAGAGTAGTATTCATATTGAGTAATTGTGGAGGGAGGACGAGGGGGAGAAGGGGGGGAGGAAGAGGAACTGAAGCGGGAGGAGTGGGGCGGGGACAGCAGGACGGGTGATTAGGAGGAAGGGTGCGCAGCAGACGTGATTTTGGGGTGGGGAAGGGGACGATTCGGTCACATGTTGTGCTACATCTTCCGAACGACAATCATCATACGATGCTCACGTTATGGGTATGCCATGATAACGCTATGACAGTGTATGCCATGCAGTACCAGGCCGTGATGTGGAATGGCGATACGCAGCTGCACTGATCCAGGTCGTGATATGAAGCTGGGCCGTGCCGCTCCAATCGTATGAGAAATACATGCCGATGCGGTTCCACCGCCATGCTACTGCTATGTTGTGGATGTGCCGATGCTGTACGAATGCCACGGATTGCGATGCTATGCTATTGCTTTGTATGCCGTGATGTGATCTGCCAGTGACGTGCCAATGCGGTGCCATACGGATGATATGCAGCGCTACCCCTTTCTTTGCCCCCTCCTCTTCTTCTCTTTTTCCTGCGTCCGTCCCTTCCGCACGCTGGCCTCCCCCCGCCTCCCCTTCCGCACGCTGGCCGCCGACCGCACTCGTCGACAGTCGGGCGATGCAAGGGATGTCCCTGGCCCAGGGCATCCGCAGCTGTTCGCGCCGTCTTGGAGCCACCGGGGCTTGAGGGTGCCTGATAGCCCCATCTCCTCCAGCCGCATCTGTGCAGCTTGCTTCTGGTCGCTCCAGCCCCATCCCGCTTAGTCCCCTCGCGTGGACACTCTTGTGCGGGCAGCATCAGCGCTAGCGTCAGCTTGGAGCCCCTGGGGCCTTCTGGGGCTCGTGAGGGGCGCTCTACGGGTCATCAGGGCCTCCCAAGACATCCCAGCTTCTGGCAACCTCCGAGATATAACCCAGAAGCGTGCGCGCGGGCCGTCCGCTACCTGCGGCGAGCGGTGAGCGACGACGGCCAGCGACGACGACGAGCGACGAGCGACGAACGCCCCCCCCACCCCCCTCGGCGCCGAGAACGAGTCACGACGACCAGCAACGAGCGACGAGCGACTAAGCTTGCGCCCCCCCGCGGCATTGAATCATATTTCGAAATGGCTGGGAGAAGTGTTTTCTGTTTTCGTTGTTGCTTATATCTCTGAATGCAATATCGACTTTTTTGGGTGGGGGAGGGGGGCGGGGGGGCAATTTTCGGGGAGATTCTCGATCGCGCCGTTTTCGGCTCGGTTCCGTCTTGCACTGCAGCTTTTTGCTGTCTTGGGCTGCCGTCATGTGCTCCGTCCTGCTTCGCCGACAGCTGCACCACGGAAGGCGGGGAAAACACGCCCCCCCCTCTGTGCCGAGGAGCGGCCTTGGCGTCGAGGAGCGGCCGCGGCGCTCAGGCCGAGCCGTCACGACCAGCGACGAGCGACCAGCAACGAGCCACGAGCTTCGCCCCCTCGGCGCCGAGGAGCGGCCTCGGCACCATCCGCCGCCGCCTCGCGGCGCTGCGCCGGCGCCGAGGCGCCGCGGCGTTGGCGCTCGCGGCGCAGGCGTGCGCGCACGCGCGGGGCCGATCGCGATGGCCGAGCGACCAAGACGACGAGCGTCGACGACGACAGCGACGACGACGACGACGGCGACGAGCGTCGACGGCGACGACGACGACGGCGACGAAGACGAGCGACGAAGATGACGAGGGACGACGGCGGAAACGAAGACGACGAGAGACGACGAGCGACGAGCGACGATCGATGGCATCGAGGAGCCACGACGCCGTGCGACGACGACGAACGACGACGAGCCACGACGACGAGCGACGACGACGGACTACGGCGGGTTGCGACGGCGGCGGCAGCGGTGGCGAACGGAGGACGACGATCGGACGAAGGCGAGGAAGGAAGAGAGGAGGAGGAAGGGGGCGAGCAGGAGTCCGACGAGAGTGAGGAGGAAGCGGCGGCGGAGGAAGAGGAACAGTAAGAGGTAAGGGGAAGGCAGAAAGGGGCAAGTTGATAGTTGAGGAAGGAGGAAGAGGGCTCTGACACAAGGAAGGAGGAAAAATGAGGACAACTATGAGGAGGATGAGAAAGAACGTGAAGGGAAGATGAGAAGGGATGAACAGACAGGAGGAGGTGGAGGCAGAAGAAAAGGAGGGAACGAAAGAGAGATAAAGAGAGAGAGAGAGAGAGCTGAAGGTGGATGGATGAGGGATGAGGGAGGTGGGAGGAGGAGGAGGAGGAGGAGGAGGAGGAGGAGGAGGATCGGGAGGAGGAGGAGGTGGAGGGGCAGGAGGAGAAGGAGGAGGAGGAGGACGAGTAGGAAGAGGAGGAGGGGGAGGAGGAGGAGGCGGAGGCGGAGGCGGAGCGGAGGCGGAGGCGGAGGCGCAGGCGGAGGATGAGGAGGAGGAGGCGGGCGGAGGCGGAGGAGGAGGCGGAGGAGGATGACGAGGAGGAGGAGGCGGAGGCGGAGGAGGAGGAGAAACAGGAGAAAGAGGAGGAAAAGGAGGAGGAGGAGGAGGAGAAAGACAAGGATGAGGAGGAGGAGGAGGAGGAGGAGGAGGAAAGGAAGGGGGAAGAGGAGGGGCGGAGGAGGAGGAGGAGGAGGAGAGAGAGAGGAGAAAGAGGAGGGGCAGGAGGAGGAGGAGGAGGCGGAGGAGGAGGAGGCGGAGGAGGAGTAGGAGGAGGAGGAGGAGGAGGAGGAGGGAGGAGGAGAAGGAGGAGCAGAAAACCAGAAGAAAAGGATGGGCATGAGGAGGAGGAGGAGGAGGAGGAGGAGGAGGAGGAGGAGGCGCAGGCGGAGGCGGAGGCGGAGGCGGAGGCGGAGGCGGAGGTGGAGCCGGAGCCGGAGCCGGAGCCGGAGCCGGAGGCGGTGGCGGAGGAGGAGGAGGAGGAGGAGGAGGCGGAGGCGGAGGCGGAGGCGGAGGCGGAGGCGGAGGCGGAGGCGGCGGAGGAGGAGGAGGAGGAGGAGGAGGAGGAGGAGGCGGAAGAGGAGGAGGAGGAGGAGGAGGAGGAGAAAGAGGAATAATAATAAACATAAAAAGAATAATAAGCAGAAGCAGAAGAAGACGAATCTGAATACGAAGACGAAGACGAAGACGACGACGAAGACGAAGACGAAGACGAAGACGCTGACGAAGACGAAAACTACTAAGAATACTAATAATACTAAGGAGAATATTAAGAAGCATACTCACAAACAAAAGCAGACGCAGACACAGAAGCAGAAGCAGAAGCAGCAGCAGCAGCAGAAACATATAACAATAACGATAATAAGACTAATAATAAAAATACTACGAAGAAGAATAAGCATACTACGAATACTAAGAAGAAGACTAAGACGAATAATATTACTCATCATAATCATCAGAAGAAGAAGAAAAATAATAATAACCAGAAGACGGATCATACTAGTAATAATAAGGAACTTAATAATAAGCATAATACCAAGAATAGTAATAAGAATAATAATGATGAACATACTAATAATAGTAATAGTAATACGAATAAGAATACTAATAAGAATACTAATACGAAGAAGAAGACGAATAATACTACGAATAATAATAGGAATAATAATAATACTAATAATAATAAGAAGAAGAATACTAATACTAATAGTAAGAAGAATAATAATACTACTAATAATAATAATAATAATAATAATAATAATAATAATAATAATAATAATAATAATAATACGAATGAGAAGAATAATAAGAACACTAAGAATAATAATAAGAAAAAGAAGAATAATAATAAGAATAATAAGAAGGATGCTAGTAATAATAATAAGGAGAATAAGAAGAGCAGGAGGAGGAGGAGGAGGGGCAGGAGGAGGAGGAGGAGGAGGAGGATTCCTGTACCCGCGGGTGAGTGAGCGTAGTCTGAAAGGAGAGGAGGAGGAAGAGGAGGAGGAGGAGGAGGAGGAAGAGGGAGGAGGGACAGGAGGAGTAGGAGGAGGAGCAGGAGGAGGAGGCGGAGGAGGAGGAGAGGGAGGAGGGAGGGGAGGAGGAGGAGGAGGAGGAGGAGGAGGAGGGGGAGGGGGGGGAGGAGGAGTAGGAAGATCAGGAGGAGGAGGAGGAGGAACATGCGGAGGCAGAGGTGGAGGCGGAGGCGGAGCCGTTCCGCAGGCTCGGTGGCCTGCGAGCGCGGCGGCCGAGCGCTGGTGTGCCAGGGGGCCGGTGGGCGCTCTCGCGCTTCCTCGCGCCGCTGTCGCCGTCACCGCCGCTGCTGCCCGCCCCCCCCCCCCCCTGCGTTGCAGCTGCGCGGAATTCTGGCTCCTCGCGCGAAGTTGCGCTTTACATTCACGTGGTACGCATGATCTCCCCCCACGCCCTGCGATCTCCTCCCTTGCTCCGTCCGAGAGAAGAAGAAACAACAAGTGGTACGCATGATCTGAAACATGCTAAATGAAGACTAATTGCCCGATGTTTTACGAGCGCGCGTTTCTTGACATGTCTTGCCATCTTTGAATTTGCCTGACCTCGGCGACCACAATACGTGCACGAACAAGGGTGCTAAGCAGACGCAGTACCGAAATGAACTTGGCTTCGTGGACGGGGAGCGACAACATGCAGCTGTACGACGCGCGCAGGAGGGATACAGGCTGGGACGCGAAAGGGACTGCGCCTGCTCGCTCGGGCTAGCCTCCCCCGACAAGCTGTGGTGGAGAGGCCCCGGCGCTACCTCGAGGGGCGAGCAGCGGGAGTTTTGGTGCAGGGCGGACTGGAAGGCGCTCGTGACGGCACAGGAGAGCTTCCCCGAGGGCGAGTTCATGAAATAGTGTGTGGACAATACGAAGAAAAACTTCAAAGGGGACAACGAGAAGTGGCCCGAAATCGGCTGCAAGTCGAGGTCCCACCAGCACCACACTGGGCCATCCAATGTGGTGGAGCTCATCGTTGGCGAGAAGTGGGAGGTGCTCGCAGCTGAGAGGCCGCCGCAAGCGCTCGACGACGCCATCAAAGGGGACCACTGCAAGTTCTACGGCGCGGCCCAGAAGCTGAGCCCAGAGGCACTGCGCGAGCTGATCCCACCTGCCTTCCCGATGACGCACCGAGCCAGGGGCTGCGCGCTGATCGCAAAGTGCCCAGTGGACGCGTGGCAAGCAGCAGGGAGGAAGTATTTCTCGACGCGCAGCCGGTGCGAGCTGGCGCCGCGGATCGCGAAGAAGGACACGGATAACCTACAGAGCGTCATGGAGATGGCCGCGAGGGAACTGAGGACGGCCGTGCAGTTCGAGCAGCAGGAGGTTGAGAGGCTCAAGAAACGCCGAGAGCTCCGCGACGGCGCGGACACCCCGCTGGGCGGCGCCGAGATCTTCGAGATGCACGCCGGGCTAGGTGAGGCGGCTAGCTCCAGCGGCCGCGCGCGAGGGCGCCCGTTTGCACGGCCAGGAGGAGCAGTAGCGGTGGCATTTCGGAGTGCGACCCCAGGCAGGCAGGACAGCGCCGCCGCAGCGGCGACGTACGAACTCAGAGGGGCCGTCACTATCAGGGGCATCTCGGCGCGCGGACCTTAGGAGAGGAGCTTCCACAGAGAAACGTCTCTGTCTGTCTTGGGGTGCCGACAGGTGCGCCACCACTGGGGCGAAGAGTGGAAAACGAGGCCCCCACAAAGGCCACTAGAGTGCAATCCTTAAGGCCCCTCCTCCCGCGAAGCGACAGCGGTGACGTCCAGGAAGCGAAGTGAACCTAGAGAGGTAGGGGCTCTGTTCGAAGCGCGGGCCACGGAGGGCGTAGGTATAACAAACTTTAGCCCCCCCCAGCAACAGCATGGCACGAAGGGGCCTCCTGCGTTCCCTCGTTTATTCTCTTGCAGAGCTGTGCTCTAAAGCTCGGACATCTTTATTTTCGTCGTGGTTCGTGGTTCGTGGTTCGTGGTGGTTCGTCCCCCTCGGCCCCTCCCCCGAGCCTGCGCCCTGGCTCCCCTGGGCCACCCGCCCTTCGGAGGCTTGCTCCGTCAAGGCTTCCCAGGACAGCCCCCTGGGCTGCGGACATCCTTTTTTGGTCGTGGTTCGTGGTGCGTCGTGGTTCGTCCTCCTCGGGCCCTCCCCTGAGCCTGAGCCCCAGCTCCTTCCCAGGGCAGCCCCCCTGGGCCGCGGAACCCTTCATCTTCGTCGTGGTTCATGTCTCGTGGTGCCTGAGCCTGCGCCCCAGCTCCCCTGGGCCACCCACCCTTCGGAGGCTTGCTCCGTCCAGGCCCCTCTGGGCCGCGGAACCCGTTATTTTCGTCGTGGTTCGTGGCTCGTGGTGGTTCGTCCCCCTCGGCCCCTCCCCTGAACCTGAACCCCAGCTCGCCTGGGCCACCCACCCGTCGGAGGCTTGCTCCGTCCAGGCTTCCCAAGACAGCCCCCTCTGGGCCGCGGAACCCGTTATTTTCGTCGTGGTTCGTGGTTCGTCGTGGTTTGTCCCCATCGGCCCCTCCCTTGAGCCTGAGCCCCAGCTCTCCTGGGCCAGCCCCCCTTGGCCCCCCCCTCCACCCAGGCTTCCCAAGGCAGACCCAGGGAACCCTTTTATTTTCGTCGTGGGCCCCCCCCTCTTGGGACCCCCCCTCCCTCCAGGCTTCCCAGGGCAGCCCCCCTGGGCCGCGGAACCTTATTTTTTCGATGTGGTTCGTGGTTCGTCGTGGTTCGTCCCCCTCGGCCCCTCTCCTGAGCCGGCGCCCCAGCTCCCCTGGGCCACCCACCCTTCGGAGGCTTGCTCCGTCCAGGCTTCCCAGGACAGCCCCCCTGGGCCGCGGACGTCATTATTTTCGTCGTGGTTCGTAATTCGTCGTGGTTCGTCCCCCTCGGCCCTTCCCGTGAGCCTGAGCCCCAGCTCGCCTGGGCCCCCCCCCTTGGGACCCCCCCTCCGTCCAGGCTTCCCAGGACAGCCCCCCTGGGCCGCGGACCCCTTTTATTTTCGTCGTGGTTCGTGGCTCGTGGTGGTTCGTCCCCGTCGCCCCCCCCCCTCTGAGCCTGAGCCCCAGCTCCCCTGAACCACCTACCTTTTGGAGCCTTCCTCCGTCCAACCTTCCTCCGTCCAGGCATCCCAGTGCTTCGCAGCACCTTTGTACAAGAGCCACGGGGCGCGTGCCACGAGTGAGGCCGGGTCGGCGTCCTCCCCCTGCTCGGGGGCCCTGCTCGCCCGGCGCGCCTCCTTTGGAATGGGCGCGCGGGCGGGCCGACAGCTGCTCCCCCCGCGCTTACCCGTAGGGGTTCGCACTCACAAGGTAGCGAGCCTCTCTTACGGGGCCACCTCGGAGCTCGCCCCTGGAATCTTCGGGGCATGCCCCATGCTGGTCCCATGACAAGTCTGGGTCTGCGGCGTACTCAACTCGCAGGGGATTTTGACAATCGTGCCCCACAGCTCCTTTGTAGGCGTTTCGGCGTTGATGCGGATGTCCTGTCCTGTCCTGTTTTTTTTCTCCGTCCTTGTGTTCTGCCTATCCTCGTTCTTCCCTCCTCCCTCCTCCCTCCCTCCCTCCCTCCCTCCCTCCCTCCTCCTCCTCCTCCTCCTCCTCCTCCTCCTCCTCCTCCTCCTCTTCCTCCTCCTCCTCTTCCTCCTCCTCCTCCTCCACCCCCTCCGCCTCCTCCTCCTCCTTTCTCCTCCTCCCCCATCCGCCCTCCTCCCTCGCTCTTCTTTTCTCCCTCGCTCTTCCTTTTCCCCTTATCCTTCTGCCTCCACCATCCCTCCTTCCATCCCTCCTCCCTGCCTCCCCCCTCCCTCCTCGGTCCCTCCCTCCCTCCCTCCCCCCCGTTTCCTCAACGAAGATTCTATTCTAGAGCCCAACTTCCCGATGCCTTCCATGTTTGCCACATACCTTGAGGCCTTTTTTCCAGTTTAGCTACACACCGACGGTGTCGGCGGTTCAAGAGTCAAAGCAAACAGTCTCTGCTACCTCCTCCTTCTTTCCCTCCCTCCTCCCTCCTGCTCTGTGTTATGCCAATCCTCCTCCCCCCTCCTCGCCACCCGGCCCCCCCCCCTCCAAGGTGGTCCTGGGCCTTCCCAGTGGCGGGCACTGCGACGGCGCGGCGGGCCCGCGCGCCTCCCCTGCCCCCCTGCCCACAGGGGGGGGGGGCCCGGGGCGAGGTTCGAGGAGGGGGACCTCTCGCCGAGCATGGGCGCGCGGATGCCCGACGTGTTTTGTTTGCTGCTGTTGTTGCTGTGGTAGTTCGTGTGGTTGAACTCCCACTGCTGAGAGATTATGGTTGATCCCCCCCGTCCGGTGCACATTGTTTTCCTCGATTGATGTGCCCTTCCCAGGGCTCGCACCGGGTTTTTTTGATCAGAGAAAGTCTTGAGCGTCAAACTGTGTCGTTGGCCCCCAGTTTACAACAACAGCGGCTCCCGCCTGAGACCTCCTCACAATTTAGCCAGGACCCCCGCTCCCGCCCGAGACGTCCTTGCATTTTATTGCGAAGGCCTTGCGGCCGGTGCCGCCCACCCTGAAGACGAAGAAGAGGAAGAAGAGGATGTCGAGAGGGGGGAGGGCGGCGCGGTACGGGGTCGCGCGAGGGCAAGACGAATTTCCGATGGAAAAGTAATGAGTGTGGCCTCTTGGGCCCTTCTTGGGGGTGCTCTTGGAGGGGGCCTGGGACGTCTTGGAGGCTTCTTGGACGGTCTTGGGGCTTTCTTGGGCGTCTTCGGCCGATCTTTGGGCGACTCGGGGCACTCTTGGGCCGTCTCGGGGGCCATTTTGGGCATTCGGACCTCATTTGGAGTGTTTTCGAGGTTTCGAGGCCGCCCGAGGAAAAACGAATCTGCTCCCCCCCCACCCCCACACCACCCCCCACCCCCCCGGGGACCCCCCCGGGACCCCCCCCCCCCCCCCGGCCCCCCCCCCTTTGGGGAAGGGATCAAATGGAAGGGGCTTCCCTTCGAAGCTACAACGGCATGACGGCAGGAGGGTACGGCCCAAGAAGAACAAAGAGGGAAGGAAGAAGGGGGGCGGCGAGGAAATGATGCCGTTCACTTCATGTCGAATCGACAACGATGACGATCCGAACAACGAAAACACAACGATGTCAATCCGAACAACGAAGACGATTCGGACGAGGAAACCCTTCGCACACGCCGACAGGGTCGGCGGATTCAAGAATCGCGCTCTCGCTTGGGACTTCCTCACAATTACAGTTTATTCAGGAATCGTTCTGCCGGCGCTCTGGAGTCGCGCTCTCGCTAGAGACTTGCTTGCAATCTACTGAAGAATAGCGTCCTTGCGTTGAACACTCTTGCAATTTATTCAAGCGCCGCGCTCCCGACACCCAGACACCCAGGAGTCGCGCTCACTTTTAGGACGCCCTTACAGATTACCTAAGAATCGGGATCTCGCTGCCCTCCGTGGCCCCGTTGTCGCGGCCCCTTCTTTTTCTTTCGTGGCCACATTGCAGCCCTTCGTGGCCCCCTCGCTGTCCTTCGCGGCCCCGTTGCGGCCCCTCGTGGCCTCCTCCTCGTTGCCCTTCGTGGCTCCACTGCAGCCCTTCGTGGCCCCCTCGCTTTGTTTCGTGGCCCCGTTGTAACCCTGCGTGGTCCCCTCGCTGCCCTTCGTGGCCCCCTCGCTGCCCCTCGTGGCCCCGTTGCAGCCCTTCGCGGCCCCTCGCTGCCCTTCGTGGCCCCCTCGCTGCTTTTTGTGGCCCATATATGTATGCCCCTAGTGGCCCCCTCTCGTTCGCGCCCGTGGTGGCCCCATATGCATGCCCTTCGTGGCCCCGCTGTCGCCCTTCGTGGCCCCTCTCGCTGCCCTTCGTGGCCCCGTTGCTGCCCTCAGTGGCCCCGTCCTTGCCCTCCGCGGCCCAGTATACGTATGCCCTTCGTGGCCCCCGTTCGTTCGCGCCCGTTGTGGTCCCATGTGCATGCCCTTCGTGGCCCCGCTGTCGCGGTTTGTGGCCCCCTCACTGTCCTAGGTGGCCTAGCTGCTACCTTCAATGGCCCCGTCGTTGCCTTCTGTGGCCCCGCATGATCTGCCCTTCGTGGCCCCCGATCGTTCGCGCCCGTCGTGGCCCCATGCGCATGCCTTTCGTGGCCCCGTTGTCGCCCTTCGTGGCCCCCTTCCTGCCCTTCGTGGCCCCGCTGTCGCCCTTCGTGGCCCCTCTCGCTGCCCTTCGTGGCCCCGTTGCTGCCCTCAGTGGCCCCGTCCTTGCCCTCCGCGGCCCAGTATACGTATGCCCCTCGTGGCCCCCTCTCGTTCGCGCTCTTCGTGGCCCCATACGCATTCCCTTCGTGTCCTCGTTGTCGCCCTTCGTGGCCTGCTTCGTGTCTTTGTGGCCCTGCTGTCGTTCTCTCTCACTGTCGCTTTCGCTCGTCGTCGTCGTCGCCGTCGTCGTCGTCCTCGCCGTCGTCGTCGACGTCGTCGTCGTCGTGGTCGGTCCCCTGTCCGTCCCGCTTTGGGGTCGGGTCGACGGTCCGCGGCCGCCCCGCCGATCAGCGTTGCCGCTGGCCAGGCCGACGGTCCGCGGCCGCCCCGCCGCTTGCCGGGGCCCGGCTTGCAAGGAAGAAAGGTATACCACCCCCAAAAGGGTTAGATCGAAGACGACCAGGGCGGGTATCGAGGGTTTGGTAATACGCGTTTTTGGACAAAGGGCGAACAGTCTTAAAATGATTGTTGCTGTTGTTGCTGATTATGTTGTTGTTGTGGTTGATGTTGTGGTTGTTGTTGTTGTTGTTGTTGTGGTTGTGGTTGTGGCTGTTGTTGTTGATGTTGCTGATGTTGCTGTTGTGATTGTTGTGATTGTGGTTGTGGTTGTTACTGTTGTTGCTGTGGATGTTTTGTTGTTGCTTTGTTGTTGTTGTTGTTGATGTTGTTGCTTTGTTGTTGTTGTGGTGGTCGTTGCTGTTGTGGTTGTGGTTGTCGTTGTTGTTGTCGTTGTTGTTGTCGTTGTTGTTGTTGCTGCTGCCGTTGATATTGATGTTGTTGGTTGTTGCTGTTTTTGTGGTTGGTATTGTGGTTTTTTTTGTTGCTGTTGCGGTTGCTGTTGTTTTGGTTGTGGTTGCGGTTGATGTTGCTGCTGATAATGTTGCTGTTGTTGTTGCTTCTGTTGTTGTGGTTGCCGCTGCTGTTGCCGTTGTGGTTGTGGTTGCTGCTGCTGTGTTGCTATTGTGGTTGTGGTTGTTGATGCTGTTGTTGTTGTTGCTGCTGCTGCTGTTGTGGTTGTTGTTGTTGGTCGTGGTGTTGTTGTTGCTGCTGCTGCTGCTGTTGTTGTTGTCAGTGTTTGTGTTGTTATTGTTGGCAGCCCTGTCCCCGGAGGGGGGGGGGGGGGCGCAGCAGGCCAGCACGCCAGCACCCACACCGACGCCGACGCCCACGCTCACGCCTGGGGGGGGGGGCAGCAGGCCAGCATCCACACCCTCACCGACGCCCACGCCCACGCCCACGCCCACGCCCGCACCCACATCCACGCCCACGCCCACGCGCAAGCGCAAGCCCACGCCCACGCCCACGCCAACGGACCAGTTTCGGAGCACTCCTCACACGTTTCGTGGCCCCACGAGGGGTCTCCACGGGATGCCTCGGGCCAATTTCGGGGTACCCCTTACACGTTTCGTGATCCCACGAGGGGTTTCCACGGGATGCCTCGGGCCAATTTCGGGGTACCCCTCACACGTTTCGTGGCCCCACGAGGGGTCTCCACGGGACGTTTCGGGCCCAGTTCGGAGCATCCTTCACACGTTTCGTGGCCCCACGAAGGGTCTACACGGGACGCCTCGGGCTCATTGTGGTGCACTTTTCACGCGTTTCGTGGCCCCGCGAGGTGTCCCCACCGAAAGAAACGTGAGTCATTTCGGATGCTTCGGGGCCATTTTGGAGCACCCCTCAAACGTTTCGCTGCTGTTCGAGGGGCTCCGCGGGACGCCTCGCGCTCATGTCGGAACAACCATCGCACGTTCCGTGGTCCTTCGCACGGTCCTTTGCCCTTGTGGAGCGTCTCCGCGGGATGCGTCGGGCCCACTTCGGATCACCCTCACACCTTTCACCCCCTAGGGTGTACCGGTCCTAGGGAGTATTCGTGCTACGGAGTACTAGCGCTAGGGAGTAGTAGTCCTGTTGATTCCAATTGATCCCTATTGATCCCTATTGATTATACTCGATTCCTGGTGATTCCATTTGATCCTTATTGACCCCGAGTGATTCCTATTAATTTCAATTGGGTCCCATTGATTCTAACTTATTATGACTGATTGCAGTTGATTCGTGTTGTTTCGAATTGATTCCCATTTGTTCCCAACCATCCTGTGGTGTTGGGTCCTCGTTTTGAAGAGACGTCGCCCCGCGTTCCTCCTCCTCCTTCCTCCTCCTCCTCCCCTTCCTCCCCCCTCCTCCCCCTCCCACACCCATTCTGGCACACCCCCCACACGTTTCGTGGCCCCATAGGGAGCTCCACCGAAGGCCCCAGTGGCTGCGCCCGCATGCGGTTCCACCCCCCATTCTGGCACACCCCTCACACGTTTCGTGGCCCCATAGGGAGCTCCACCGAAGGCCCCAGTGGCTGCGCCCGCATGCGGTTCCACCCCCCATTCTGGCACACCCCTCACACGTTTCGTGGCCCCATAGGGAGCTCCACCGAAGGCCCCAGTGGCTGCGCCCTGGCATGGGAGCCCCGCCCGCATTCTGGCACACCCCTCACACGTTTCGTGGCCCCATAGGGAGCTCCACCGAAGGCCCCAGTGGCTGCGCCCGCATGCGGTTCCACCCCCCATTCTGGCACACCCTCACACGTTTCGTGGCCCCATAGGGAGCTCCACCGAAGGCCCCAGTGGCTGCGCCCGCATGCGGTTCCACCCCCCATTCTGGCACACCCCTCACACGTTTCGTGGCCCCATAGGGAGCTCCACCGAAGGCCCCAGTGGCTGCGCCCGCATGCGGTTCCACCCCCCATTCTGGCACACCCCTCACACGTTTCGTGGCCCCATAGGGAGCTCCACCGAAGGCCCCAGTGGCTGCGCCCGCATGCGGTTCCACCCCCCATTCTGGCACACCCCTCACACGTTTCGTGGCCCCATAGGGAGCTCCACCGAAGGCCCCAGTGGCTGCGCC